CATACTACATCCAAAAGTTGATGGTAGGAAGAGAATAAAGAGACCAATGAACATAAAACTGACCAAAAATTACATCGGGCAAAGAAGCATGATTCGGTTTGGTATGTACAAAAACCCTTCAAACAGCACAAGTTGAAAGAATGCTAATTYTTGTAACAAAATAAGTGAAAACATCTACACACAAATACAGTTGCAGTTGACCTCTCATGTATTTAATACAAATAATAACTCATCTCCTTTTTTGCCTTGAAAAACTTGGGGAGCCCGAGCCCACACCCACACCCACACCCTGCTTGCCTCCATAATTCCTGCTTGGAGAATCTCTAAATGAACCATAACCAGCTCCAGCTTTAGCTGCTGTAGAGTCCAATGGAAGTGAGTCGCCAAAACAAGCTGTGTTGATCCGAGTCCTGTTGAGCTCCGATTCTAGCAGCTCACTGCTACACTGTTGGGCGAGGGCCTAACAACATATAACACAGCCAAATTCAGTAACAACATCCTCATTTTTTGTGTAAAAAGAGACAAAAAGGAGGGGCTTCTTACGATCAGCTCATCTGGTGATACGCCGTCATCTGCAAGCAAATCGTCACTTCCACGTGTTGCACGGCGACGATGCTTTGGAGTATATCACTGGCTTCGGACGAGCTCTCGGTGGCTTTCTCCAATATTACTCCTTGTAATGACTTGAGAGATTTGCCCGCATCAGGAGTGAAATACTGGTTTAATATCGTCTCCAAGTATTCAAGCTGCGTAAGGCATGTGTCCCAGCAATCTCAGATTACATCATTGTGGTATTTAAAAATATTGCTGAGGAGATTGTAAGGCATGATATCGTAGTCCGTAAAAAATATGGATTCTTATATCATTCTATTCAGCAAGAAAGATATTAAAATCCTCCTAAGTTTTCACTTACCAAAATATTTGTTATAAAATTGGCAAAAGACAACCCTGTGACAAGATATCATAGAAATCGCAATACTTTTCCATTTTTGTGAAAGAACATTTTTATCAAAAAAATTGATTATCACTGGTTGGTTAGTGGTTACAAGTAACATCAATTAAAAGATCAAATTTTACCTCAAGCATGAGCTTTCAGAAACCATTTGCATCCAATATCCTTATATCAGTGTCTTTATGTTCATGAAAAAGGCTGAGTAACGTGTCAATTAGGCCTTCGACAAGAACTTGAAGTATCTTGTCCAGCAAGGGTTTACAACCAGCAGAGACCTATGATCAAAGTTCAGCCCATATTCAAACCTTGATTTGCAATCACAGTAGCAATGCGCATGCGCTAATTGTGACCATATAGATAATCTTAGCTACATAAAGAAAAAAAATCCTCCCTGCATGTGATAAGTAGAAAAGGCAACAAAATATACCTCTGCATGCACAGCTACAAGAGTGTGCAGTAACTCCACAGAAGCATCCCGCACACCCTGCAAAAGCACGATGGAAAGGTAAAACTAAAGATAGTAAAAGCATACTCTCAAGGACTAAATATATGATTCTTCACTTTCACTGCAGGTGCTCCTCCCCATTGTACTCCAGCATCCAACAAATAGTTCACAGCAGCTGTTCTAATGTGATTTGCCTGGAACAGGAAGCAAAGAGCTGTTTGAGTTTTCCAACGGCTTAAAGCTAATCGGTATTCTAAAACGTGTCAGCTGATCAAGGAGGTAGAGCAACCTTCTACCACCTGATTGCTCAACTGGGTACTATGCAGGGCCCAATTAAATCAGAGCCTAAGTGGATGCATTGCAGTTCATTTAATAAATAAATATATATGTAAACAGATCGATGACTATTAACATTTACATGCTATTTTATTTTTGATATAATTAGTTTTCATAGTTAGTGTTAACTATGTGAATCAATCTTAGCCTTTAATCCTTGAAATCTATGGATTAAATTAATCACAACATATTTGTAATAAATGAAAAACTGAATAAAAGTAAACATAGGTGAACATTCTTGAACAGTGGTATTTGTGGAAAAGATCATGGCATATGAACACCTACAAACAATCTTATTGAAGACATATGAACACCATATGGTTATGAATGCATTCTTATGAACACCTATGAGCATATTCTTACAAAAACCTTATAGTTATGAACA